ACACACAGCGAGGACAACAGGTCCGTCACATCTGCTCGTGCACTACAGCGCCCTCCACCGCGATGTCTCTACTAATGTTGTTGTTGCAGGTATCACCTGCAAGCGTTCCGACATCTATACGTGCTGGCCGTGGAGCCGCGCCTGCTGCTGCCGCGGGACCTCGACACCGGCAAGCTGTGCTACGCGCATGTACAGGTCTGCCTCACAACACCTCACACCTCATATCGCGGGGAGAGAGAATGGAACAGTGACCCGTTGTATGTTTGCAGGTGGTGGACTTGCAGGGCGTGGTGAAGGAGATGAAGGCGCCCTGCATCATTCCCGAGCTGGACGGCCTCAAGGAGGTGAAAATTAACGACCCGCGCTACTGGCCAATCGTCTTCCGCAGGGATCAGAACTGGGACCAACTTAAGTAATTAGATTGTGCAGTAAAGCCTTAACATTAATTGTATTGTTATGGGTTTTCGATTATTTTTTTACTGTGTTCATTGCAGAAAATTCCTGAACTTCACGTGGTGCATAGACATAAAGCAGCGCGCCGGCTGCCTCTCGTACGTGTCGGACCCGCACGGCTTCCTCACCATCCTGGCGCACACGCTGACGCTGGACAAGACCAACATGTGGCTCGCCACACCGGACAACATCGACCTCTTCACCAACGACGACAAGGTGCGCAGCTTCGTCAAACATCACCTGCACGGCGAGCACGCGTCCGGCGCGGGAGGCGGGCCGCAGGGCTCGGGAGGCGTGGCCGGCGCGAGCGGGGGCGGAGCCTGCGCCGACTGCCTGGTGGCGCTGCGACGGCGCGCGCGGGGCGAGGGCGTGCCGCGCGTCTGCCGCTGTCGTCGCTACAGCCGCGAGGAGGAGGAGCACGCGCAGGCGCTCAGCATGCTCACATACGAGTGCCTCGTCAAGGACTCGCTCTGCGCCCTGCCTCTCTGGGCCACATTCCTCAAGGTTTGTTATCTCTTTCTCGTAACTTTGAAATTAATTTACTAACTTTTATTAGTTGAAGTTACAAAACTAAAAATTCCATTTTAGATAATAAAGGCGATGCGGACGGAGCCGACGTCGTACGACGTGTGGCAGATGCGGCTGCTGGTGTCGCTGGCGGAGCAGCAGAGCGCGGCGGCGGCGGCCGAGATGCCAGTTGACGGGGACGAGGCGCCCGCCGAGCCGCTCGTCTCCGCGGAGCTCGCGCTCGCTCTCAAGCAGCGAGTGGCCGCCCTGCTGGACGACTGGCAGCCGCGGCTGGCGCCAGCGCTGCGCCGGTACGCGGGCGCGGGCGGTGCCTCAGCTGCGGGGCGGCGCTCGGGCGAGGAGGCGCGACACGCACTGGCGGCCTACGTGCTGTACCACGGTGTGCGAGCGGGCCAGTGCGGGGCGGGGCGAGCGCGTGCCGCTGCGCTGGCGTGCGCGCCCGCCCCGCCCGCCGCCGCAGTCGCTGCGCTCGCGCCGCTGCTCAGCTGATGGCGGCCCGCGCGCGCCCGCACGCGCACTCACAGATACTAGCTTCAGCACTAACGAAATGGACATCTTTGGAAACAACGAGTTTTACTCCTGTATAACTCATAATCACTTCTTTGTTCCTTCAAGTTAGTAGTAAATTGTTTGGTAACAGCGCCATCTATTAAATTGTATCTTTGCATGTCGAAAAACTATTTGTAAATATGATATGTTTAAGTAAAATAAAATAAGTATTTTATAGTTGCAATTTTTATATATTATTGTCTTGTAAGATCTGTATAATATAAATATAATTATATAAATTAGAAATATATAAAATATGTAAAAATGCAAAAAATATTCTTTCGAGTTTTATTGAAAATAAACCTTTTTCATGTAAATCGTTATCAGTGAAATGTTTACAATCTGCGTCCTATCTCTAACTTGTTCAGTGAAGCAGTAATTAGGTATATAAATCAAAATTTATCACTCGCAGCTACTGATCCGGTATTATTTTGATAAGCCACCGTTTTTCTTTCGACATCGCTTATCAGAATGTTGTCGAGTTTTATATTAGAACATATTATACGTCTGATTTATCTATATATATAAAAACCAATTGCTGTTCGTTAGTCTCACTAAAACTCGAGAACAGCTGAACGAATTTATCCTATCTTATAAAGTTCGTGAAGGTCTACGGAAGGTTTAAAAGGTAAGAAAAATTCTAATAATTGCCAGGAAAACCCTAAAAACAGCCCTTGTCTTTTTCCCTTATAAACGGCTGAATAGATCTCGCTGAAACTTGGCATAGATGTAGAACATAGTCTGGAAGAACACATAGGCTAGTAATTATGTTTTTTTTTTTAATTACGCGCCGACGAAGTAGCGGGCGACAGCTAGTCTTTAATAAAAATAATAGTGATTGGCAAAAATTATGTAACTTTAGTATTGAATAAATAGATTCTGTTAAATACCATAGCCTTAGAAATTAAGAGGCGAAAAAGTAAATGAAAAATTTCTCGAGAACAAGACAAAAAGGAGTAGTATTTTTAATGCCCATTTCCACGCTATCACAGCCGGTTAACTATACCAGTTGAATACCAATTCCACTGGCGCGCTCGCGATCCCTATATGAAATAACAGTCGTGCTTTTAATAGAGATACGGAAATGCAACCTTATTCATTGTTGGTTTCAGAAACAGAGATTTTCGTGTCAGAAATCAACAATTTGAGTTGTAAATATATAAATAATATGTGTCCCCAGTGCTTTTACCCAACTATGCAATATTTTTTGAAGTAATTGTAATAAAAATAACTCAGTTATTAAGTAACAAAAGTAATTAACAGATTGTTTTGATCGATCGAGATACCTTGCCCGTATTGTATTGGCTCTTGTGTTGTCTTTTTGATTGTCTGCCGCCAACCCAATCTTGTCCTTGAAGCTATTTATAAAATAATTTCATAATTCAATAAATTAACAAATAATATGCATTTATTTCATCTTTCAACATTTTTGATATATCATCTCTATTGTCCTTGTAGCTAAAATTAAATTAATATTTCAGAGTTAAAATTCCCTCTAGCACCGGCAGTTCTTAGGCAAATTGTTTCGGCATCCCTGGCGTAGAAAATACAGTCTCTGGTTTTGATAAACGAGAAAAAACAATTTTCAAAGCATATCGACGAATCCAGGCCGACCTCTGCTACACCAAACAGCAGTACAAGAAACAGGATGTCCGAAAACGTATTCATAATAACGTTATTTATAATTGATTTGAATCAATTTTAATCCAATCGTAGCAATTAATCACAGCTATCTAAATTCTTATAAGATATGTAGTGCGTTATATAAAGTGTGCAAGGAAATGCGCGCGCAAACGGTTGCAAGATGGCGTACGCGGTAGGGATTCTACTTGCTACTCTCTTAGTGGGGGGCTTGGGTAAGTACATGTTCCTTTCGGTTGCAGAACCTGACATATATTGTGGTATAATGAGAAAATGCATACAACGAAGTTCAGTCGCCTTCAGTGCAATGTTCTAGCAACATTAGTTAAGGCCAAAACTGTGAGATAAGGGAACAATTAGATGCCCCCCCCCCTTACTTGGGAGATACGCCGTACTGGCACGAAATATAATACATCTAGGGTAATATTATTCTTAAGTCTTTCGCCGCTGCGAATACCTTAACAAATTTTGTAGATTCAGGACCAGATATAGTCTAAGTTAACTTAACATTACATCATTTGTATTCCATTTCAGCTTTGCCAGCGCCCGAGACTGATGTAAAGCAGTTCTACGGCCACTCAGACCCAACGGGGCGCATCGTGGGTGGATCGAACGCGGGAAATGTGCCGTTCATGGTGGCACTCTCGAGCGGCTTAATCTCGCGCTCGTTCTTGTGCGGAGGCTCGCTGGTTGGCCGTCGCCGCGTGCTCACCGCCGCGCACTGCATCGCCGCCGTCTTCTCTGGAGGCTCGCTCACAAAGTAAGCAATATATATAATACTTAAGTTACTACAAACTAGTCCTGGTTTCAGTAAGACTTATCAAGCTACGTCAATATCTGCAGTTCAATTAAAAGACCAGAATCTCAATCAGAGCAAGATATAGTTACGTAAATTATCTTACACAATTAAGTATTTATTTATATAAGTATGTACCATTTATCAATTAATGAACTAGATTAATTGATAAGTATTATAATAGTTTATAATGATAATTTGATTTTATAGCATCTGATTTGTCGTCGAAATTATGGAAAGATCCATATAAATGCAGCTTTTTACAACGATTATAAATATTACATTTGATTTCGCTATTGATGTGTTTACGATTACGAAGCTACAAATATAGCTATAATAATAGTTTCAAAGCCTTATTATTTCTTCTACCATTCCAGTACCCTTCGCGGCACAGTGGGCACAAACCGCTGGAACTCTGGAGGCACGAACTACAACTTTGCTCGCAACATCACACACCCTAACTACGTGGCTGGAATCATCAAGAACGACATCGGGCTACTGGTGACCACAGCTGATGTCGCTCTTAACAACGCTGTGCAAATCGTCGCCCTCAATTACGACTTCATTGGCGCCAATGTCGGAACCACTGTGTACGGCTGGGGAAGGATTAGGGTGAGTGATCCTAATGTTTATTTTTGATTTTGAGTGGACATCAATATTTATTCACGTTTAAAGCTATAGTTAATTAATCATAACAATTTACAATTGGTATAACCAAGATTACGAATAATTTTCTTAAACATTTCGTCATAAGAATAGATAATAAGATTTGAATACCCAAAAGATGAAATTCCTTTGAATTAACGTATTTGTGTAAGTTTACCTTCAGCTGACACTGTTTCACACTCGATTTTATAATTGTTTTACGGAAATAATTTTGTTTCTATGTTGTTTGTTATGTTTGCAGCAAGGTGGACAGAGCTCGGCAACTTTGCTGCAGCTGCACAAGAACACGTTCGATAGTGCACGCTGCGTCACCGAAGTAGCTCGCATGGCGCAGCAGCTGAACATCCGCGCACCCGCTGTCCAGCCGCACATCGAGATCTGTACCTTCCACTCCGCCAACCACGGCACTTGTCACGTTAGTACAATATTATAATAAGAGCGTGATCTCTAATGAGATCTCGACATCAAACGAAAATAGTTACGAGATATAGATCAAATAGAAAGGTGTAACTTTTTTAGGCGAATGGGTATTCTGCTATTTCACTTAAGGCGAGTCTTCTGTGTGGTCGTGTTATTTCACCGAGCGATTTGACTCATTCGTGCCACAGATGTTGTAGTTCCTGGTGTCTACCATTGTTAAAATGTATCCTTCTTAAAAAAAAAAAAGTAAAAGTAATTTAATTTTCAAATCTCGCCATAAGTACATACCGGAGAGAGGGGACGTCAGTCGATGTCAGACTTTGGACTGCAGCACGTGTCGGTACTTGAAAGGGCCAAATATAACGCAACAAATGCTATAGTATTTATCGTCCGATAGCCTACCAGATAGTTTTTTTTAAAGTCTGACTGTATCGTATGTATATTTAATAGTCGTGGTAACATTCTCAGGGTGACAGCGGCGGGCCGTTAGTACATCGCAGCAACGGGCGACAGATGGGTATCGTGTCTTGGGGTCTGCCGTGCGCTCGCGGAGCACCTGACATGTTCGTGCGCATCAGCGCATACCGTAGCTGGTTACAATCCAACATGTAAATAAAACACGAAATAAACGACGTCATATCTTTTTATTGCTTTTATTTTACACAAAATTGGTATTAGAACTTTTGAGGAGAATAGATGCGTGTTAATGTACATGTTCGACTTATACTTTAGAAAGTTGAACAGACAACAAAGTTAAATGGTATCCTTATATTACTATTATATGATAATCCTCCATAGTTAATTGGTTACTAATGGTGACCCTTAGTTTAGATTTAATGAGTGAGAAATCTATTCTTATCGCATTCTTTTTACTAATCTTCCGAGTTAACAGTTCCAACGCTATCTATTTTAAAAACAGATTAACCTGTCACGTTTTTAACTAATCTCTACTAGTTTTATCCAATTATATGCAGAATAATAATTTCCCAATGATCGATATAATGATGACGAAAATCTTAAATGTCTGTTCTTTGATAAACACTACTCTTTATCTTTCTTAATCTGATATAAATCGTATAATTACATCAACTAATTAGGGGCACAATACAAAAATTTGTAGATTAGAGTCGTAGGCAAACTTATAAATATTAGTTACGACGGTACATTTCGCAAACGTGCTGTGCTCGGAACAAACATGGCGTTCAAAGTTGCAGTTCTTCTAGCCACTGTGCTAGCTACCAGCCTGGGTAAGTCACAATCTACCTAATTTACAAATTGCATTACGACATACAAGTCATATTAAATAACGCAAGCTCAAAAACTTTTGCCTTTTGAAAGAAATTTCTTAATTGTTTACTTTAAATCTTGCTCAAACAAATATGAATTACAAATTGTGTATTACAACTTGAACTTTATTGAACAATTTTGAAATAACTTAACTCTGTGGTATAGTTAAACTTGTATAAGCTAAAGTTCATACTTCTTTCCTTCGGAAGCTCTGAAGAACAGCTGAACTTTTCCATTTCTAAGCTTCTAACTTACTTTTAGTTCCACGAAGAATGGGGACCTAATTGCATCTTGTCTCTTTTTATATTGTCTATATCAAAACCAGGTAAATATAGCCAAGCTATGTGACCAATAGCCACATCGAAAAAGCTCTCGTTCTAGTTAATATAAAATAAGTAAATAAATCTTACAGAATGATGTATGTATTACTGTTGGTAACTTTAAACACACTGTTATGTGTCTTAAACCGCGTTTCTAATGGGCAACAATTGGCACGTAGTTGTCCAACGTAAGTGAGCGTCACGCTTTGCACGCATTCAAGTATTCAGCGGTGTTGCCTATTGGAAACGAGACTTTAGTGAATAATGTGGCGTTAATCTAATCATAAATTATATCGTTGTTATTTATATAATCACATGAACTTTAAGTACTTGGACAATTTAATGAACGCTTACCAACGAAGATACGCTTATCATGCAGCAACGTGTGTTATCTTACTATTATAGGGACCTGAGCAACGATTGACCTAAGTTGCACAGATTTTTTTCATTTATGTGTTTACGTAAATGTTTAATCTAAATAAAACTTGTTTTGTTATTCTTAAAAAAGTGTTATCTAAAATATTGACTTACGTTCTTGATTTTAAAACTTAGCACATGTTAATCTTACATAATCTTTGGCAGCGAAAAAAAAATGAATAAAAGTTTTCAATTTTATGTATGTTCGTGTTACAGCTGTACCAACACCACGTCATGAGTTCTCCGACTTCTTTATCCACGCGGATCCTAATGCACGCATAGTGGGAGGTAGTCAGGCAGCTGCGGGCAGTGTGCCTTACATGGTGGCAATGTCCAACGGCTTGTTGGTCCGCAGTTTCCTCTGTGGAGGATCACTGGTCAGCGCTCGGCACGTGCTCACTGCAGCTCATTGCATAGAAGCTGTCTTCTCACGCGGTGCTCTCAGCAGGTCAGGAATCAAGGACATGGTTCATTTGGTATAAGTAGCTATTGGTTATAGACCACGTAGATGTGCTACAGTTTCGTTAATGCACATAGGAAATTTCTATAAAATATCATTAATTTACAATCTTCTGTGAGATCGATATACAGGCCGCAATTTCTCGTTCAAATCTGAGGAGATCTCCATTTATGGCCGGAGTTTACGCAAAAAGACTAAGAATAAAGATTGATAGGAATATCAATACAATTTCCAGCTCCCTCCGTGTGACGGTGGGCACGAACCGCTGGAATTCCGGAGGCCATTCGTACAGCCTGTCGCGCAACGTCACCCACCCGAACTACGTTTCATCCACGATCAAGAATGACATTGGCATCCTGGTGACGTCATCCAACGTGGCGTTCTCCAACCTTGTGCAGCCTGTGGTCCTCAGCTACGACCACATCGGCGCCGGCGTCAGGTCCAAAGCTGCCGGCTGGGGGAGAATCAGGGTAAGTATAAACATAAACGTAAGTTCTATTTGACCGACTGATAAGAAGGTAATGTGTGAATGGATGAATGCATTTTGTCTACTCCATTTTTACCTGCTATAACCTTACACGCCCAAAGACTTTAACTAGTGACATATCGCTCAGTCGGACTTAACGATTATACTTTTCTAATTTTATATGTCATGTTTGCAGCAAAACGGTGCCCTATCGGCAGCCCTGCTGCAGCTGATAGTAACCACGATCGACGGGCAACAATGTGTGCGTGAGGTGGCGCAGCGTGCGTTAGAACTAAACATCCGCGCACCTGCCGTCGAGCCTCACATCGAGCTCTGCGTCTACCACTCTCCTGGACACGGCATGTGCAACGTCAGTATACAACAGACAATAATTAAGCATCCCATCAGTCACTTCCAAGATTTTCCCCTTCAGGGCATACGGGCTCGTGATCAGTACCATTCATCTTGGCAAGCTATCCAAGTTTTAAACATTAAATAAGGTAAAAGAGATTTATTTCTAAGCTTCCAATGTAACTTGCAGGGTGACAGCGGCAGTGCTCTGGTTACTGAGAGCAACAGCCAGCAGATTGGTATCGTGTCATGGGGGCTGCCGTGTGCGCGCGGAGCACCAGACATGTTCGTGCGCGTCGGCGCCTACAGGGATTGGATCACCCGCGCAATGGCTTAGATTCCACGCATCATGACTTGATCTCCCGCATCCTGACTTGATCGTTGTGATTTCAATCAGTATCACCATGGGATAATTTTAACATTGAAAGACTTAATTTTAATTATAAACCAAGGGAAATAAAAAATAAGTAATTAGCTTTATAGTCTTTTTTATGAAGTTTTCTTCATATGTACTGCGATTTTTCTTATAAGACCTCGTAGCAAATAGCGACAGGCATACATCCGAAGATCTTAGCATTATTCAAAAATCATTTAGTGAATGTTTAAAGAAAAGTAAATATTAAATTACTAAACTATGGACGTTTATTTTTTTATTTTTGGAATAAATACAAGTAGGGCATTGCCTTTTTTGGAATACTATTGGAAAAAAAACTTAAACAAACTGGTTTATTATCGCTCGTTTAGTGTTAAGTGATAATTTAGTTCAGCATAATTTGTGCAAATATCTCGCAAAAGCAATTGCACTGCTAAATGTCACTGGCACAAGTTTGCAGATGACATTTGCTCAGGCGGGAAATGTAAGAATTTTCGAAATGGTTGGTCTGTTTTGGTATACGTAACGCATTTTTCTACATTTAAAAAATGCTCGGAATGTCATAATATTTTTTGTAATAACATAGGTTTAATAAAGAATGTAGTTTTTGGTCTTGTATAATTGAGTACACCGGGACGCCATTAGCATAGCGACGAAATTTGAATACAGTTCGAAGTTAGTGTACCTTATCTACTGAATGTATTTTATTGAAACGCCTAATTGATTAAACTCATACATTACACAGTAACATGCTTAAACATCCAGTTGTTCAAGGAAGTGGCAAATATATTCGACGTTGCGACAACGATGGTGTTCAAAGAAGTTATTTTATTAGCATTATTTGTTTTAATTTTAGGTGAGTTTAATATATTTTTTAAATTTGTACTCCATATATAATAACAATCGCAAAATAGTTGTATTAACTTTTTTAGTCTATCCATGATTAAAATTAGTGACAATCACTTTGACATATGCCAACGCACGCAATAACACTCCATCTACACACAGGCGAATGCGGCGGAAAGTGGCAGTAACCAGTAACTCTTCAAGTGTATAGACACGAGTATTTTGTAGGAGCTACAACATACGAGTATGGTACATCAGAGTTGTTTATTCACGCGGAGTCCCGGGGACGCATTCTGGGTGGTGTGCCGGCGGACGAGGGCTCAGTGCCTTACATCGCAGCAGTGACCGTGGGGACCACTGTCCGTAGCTTCCTCTGCGCCGGCTCTCTGTTCACTACTAAACACATCCTGACAGTCGCTCACTGCATCACCGCACTGTATCGTAATGGTTCTTTTGTCAAGTAAGTTCCGTTTATTATTTCTTTAAATTGCGTTTAACAACCCCCACATACTGTTAAGAAAAAAAAACCGACACTGTGCCGTTGTACCGGTGCTACACTAGCCTTCATAAAGTGTCAACGTTTAGGTCTCGTCACTAAACATTCTTGTCTTTTGTAACGAAAGCTCGCCATTCGCGTCAAATGATTCTAATTAATAATGTCAAAAAAAAATACAAACAACTTCAAGCAAAAATTTCTGGTCCTTAGATTTCTTTCCGACACCTTACATTTAACTTTATAAATTCCAGCTCTGTCAGCATAACAGTGGGCACCAACATCTGGAACTCTGGCGGACAAACGTACAACGTCTCCGGCAACATCACACATCCGGACTTTGACCCGATACTTGTTAAAAACGATATAGGATTCCTGATCGTGTCAACAGATGTCGCTCTCAGTAAGAGCGTGCAGTTGGTCACCTTGAGTTTCCAGAATATCGGAGCTGGTGTCGAAGCGACAGTCGCCGGTTGGGGAAGAGTGAACGTTAGTATTGTTTTGTTATTACTCCGACTTTTTTAAAAGGCGTGTCTATATACAGTTTTCCTAACTTAAGTTGGAAAACAAATGAGGCTCACTTGATACTAGGTTACAGTTCAACGACAGCAACGATATGAAAAGTTAAGATAGTTAAAATTTTTAACACGAACGTGATTCGATAGCTTGTGACGCTTAAATACGAGTTCTAATAAATTAGTGAAATTACAATTTTCCAGAGGACGAGACCTCTGTCCTCGGAGCTGTTGGAGCTGGAGATGACAACAGTAGAAGGCCAGCAGTGTGCAAAAGAGGTGAAGGCGGAAGCCGCGGCGATCCGGCTGCGAGTGCCGCCAGTAGAGCCTAGCATAATGCTCTGCGCGTACCATTCACTGAACCACGGCGTGTGCAATGTTAGTATACCAATTTTGTCTGCTGTAATCGAACCTTAATTTCAGGTGACTAGGCTTGAGAACGTGGTGGCTCTGGGGTTCAGCAGTATACTATAATTTTATATATTGTAAGCTAGAAGTCCGGGTTCGATAAGCGCCATAAACCAATGTGGTTTTCGTTGTTTTGTACATTTATCTTAACTTATAACCTTGAAAAAAAGCATCGGCATATGTATTCAACCAATCCGCATTAAGCCTGCGTGGTTGAATAAGGCCCTAGGCGCCTTGGTCTGGAAAATAAAACATTTCTTACGCCTCGTAATCTTTATACTGCAATCTGTCAAAACCATAATGGAAACAACACTTCTTTTTGAATAACTAATCTCTTTGTGTTCAGGGTGACAGCGGTAGTCCTCTAATTGAAGTGGTGACTGGTAAGCAGATCGGTCTGGTGTCGTGGGGACTGCCGTGCGCGCGCGGCACGCCCGACATGTTTACAAAAGTCAGCGCATTCCAACAATGGATACAACATGTTATAAATATTGATGATAGTATCGGCTAATGAAACTAAAGCTTTAGAAAGTTAAATGAGGATTTTCACTGTAGAAATAATTGTATACATATTGTCTTAGCTATTCTTTTTAATAACAAAGATATGTTTCATTACGATTGTTACGAGAAGTTTTTCACAGCAATGTATTTATTTCATGTGAATATTAATTAAATAATAAAAATATATCGTTTTTTTATTTCGGACCTTTAATTTAATTATGTGTTTGGAAAAGAAACAACTAAGCCATTAAAATAATTGTATTTTAGTTCAAAAATTTTAAACCGAAGTTTTATTCCGTTATTAAACATATTTCGGGTCCATATTTACTTGATATAATTATTTCAATTTTAATAAATTAATACTTGAAATAAATAAAATCACAGTGTACATTTAAATAATTTACTATTCCATGTTTTAATAGAAATTATTCTAAACTTCAAGAATCAATTTAACAGCAAACAGAATGTTACATAAGAAACAAAACACACCTTAACTAATATAATTTACACTTAAATTAACACTAATTTAACTTAAAATCAAATAGTCAGTCGCACATCAATAATGTTGTAAGATATCGAGTAAGAAATTCTTGTAGGCGCTGAGCCTAGCGTAAACGTCGGGGAAGCCCCGCGCACAAGGCAGCGCCCAAGATGCTAAGCCGACTTGCGAGCCTGTCGCACGCTCTATCAAAGGACTGCCCGAGTCACCCTGGTAATTTTACAATTTGCTTAAGAACTAAAAAAAACTGAATTATCATTATCTATTAGTTGTTTTGTTAAATTGTGAGAGATAAGAGTTAGATGGGATAAAAGTTTGTTGATTTTAAGAATGTGTTTTATAGGACATGTTTTAGAATTTTTAACTTTTCGCGATTAAAGTTTATATGTAGTTTGTCTATGGTCAAAATCATTTTATTTGGATTGGAACACTGGACAGTAATCATTATAATAAATAATTAGCTTTGTGGTTGCGATTTCAAAAGAATACATACATAGCAAAGTCCATGTCCTATAGAGTGGAAAGTACAAATTTCCAACTCAGATTCCAGTCTTATCCCTGCGCCGGGGGATGCGGCCAGAGCCTCGGCGCAGTCGCGAGGTGACAACGTCTTCAGATTTATCAGCTGCAAGTTATCCGCGAACGGGTACAGGATCTACGAGTATGGGTTATTAAAGAAATATTGATTTCGTGTGATTGTCTTTTGTTTTAAGGATGTTACATTTTAATAATTAATTTTAGGAATAGCCAGAGATATCCTATAGAATTCAAAGATGTCTTGCGCTTTTATTTTGCAAAAATTTATTCATTTAACTTACCCAAGTGGATGACATATCAGCTCCGAGCCTTCCCCAACCGGTAACGAAGCTGGACACATCTCCGTCTACCCAGTCATAGCTGAGAGATACAATGCCGACTCTCGCGCTCAGTATCAAAGGTTCGACCAGAAATAACACGCCAATGTCGTTCTTAACACGAAAAGCATCCCAGGATGGATGGTTTTTAAAATGACTGAATTTTACGACGCCCTCTGTTGCATTCCATTGATTCGTTCCTACTACACCACGTGTTGTTCTGTAATAAATTTCTACATTTAACAAATTTCCTTACATATCAAAACACTAAAGAATTTTTTTAAACCATACTAGTTTACTGCGAAATTGGATTAGATTGAATCTTCTGTGATCCAATTTCTGAAGCCATACTGCATTGTTTATGAGGTTCTAGTCTTTGTAATCCAATATGGATTGTTATGGAAAAATGCATTGTTTTGTTTTGTTGTTTTAATCTTTAATAGATAAAAAATCTCACTCAATAAGTTTCCCATTGACTACCAGGGGGTCAATGCAATGCGCCGCGGTGAGTACATGACGCACACTGATGATGGACCCCCCACACATCATATTCCTAACTCTCGCCCCCCAGACCAATGCCACCATGTGGGGAGCATACCCGTCAGGTGCGTCGACACCCCCCACTACACGGGTACCTCCAAAATTCCCCAGACTTTCATTACGGTCTACTGGATTACCTAAAATGTTAAAAATATAATATAACCTCTATTTTATTTAACACTAAGTCACTTTTTATTTAAGCAATTTCTTGAATTGAGTTATAAAAACCTTTATGTTAATTAAAAATAATTAAAACATACCGTTGACAATGATCGTAAAATTAATGAGAGAAATAACCACGAAAAGGACAAACATTTTTAATGAAGTGCGAAAATTTTATAGCTATTTTTAAAATTACTCTTATTTATATTATTGAGTATTAAATGATAATGCAAATCTATTTGAATTATAAACAAATAAACAATCATTTAAAAAAAATCATTTGTTGTCTCCGACTGATAAAACTATCTACAGCTTGATTAAGTCAATGTGCGAATTTGTTTACTTAAATCTGCTAATCTTTTTAATCAGCTATTTAAAAATTAATATAACATACTTTAATTTGTAACTTAGAGAATTTTGGCCAGAGACCAAAGGTTTCTACATTTATCTAATGAGAGATTGATTGAATAAGAACACGAGAAAAATTAAAATAATAATTTCAATTAGAAATTTCTTATTACGACAAAACTATGATACTATGAGTCCAACTCTGTCTATATTAGGATGAAGATATATTATCGCATAGAACTATTAAAAATAAATGAATTATTTGCATTTGTTATCTACAGTTATCATCGGATTAATAACACAATTGAAATTGATGCGATTTAAGTGACATTGCGACTAATTTTTCACACCAAAACAATTGGATCAAAGGATCAAAAAACAAATCAGTCCTTGAACTCGAAATTCAAGCACCGTCTATTGAATTCAAGTTAAATAAATCCTAATAGTTCAATGGCTTTTAATAAAAAATAAAACAAACGACTATTGATTAATCTTACTAATATTATAAATGAATGTTTGGATATATGGATGGATGTTTGTTAGAAGATATCTCCAGAACCGCTACATGGATCTCACTGAAATTTGGCATAGACGTAGAACATGGTCAGGAAAAACATATATGCTAATATTTTAATTCCGCACAGACAGAACCGCGGTCGGGTGTCAGCTAGTTGTAAATAATTTATAGCGTAGTCCCTTTCCATCCTTACATTGGCGACACAATGAGTTGACTGCGGTCCACCTCCATCGCCAAGCAAAATTAGTTTCGAGATGTAGACCAAAACTAAACTGTAATAAACATAGTCTGTTTCACTTTATGCCACGTTAACTGATTTAATATTTAAAGTTCCAAAACTATACACAATAGATTTCAATAGAAAGGCTTGGGGCTTTATAGTTGTTCAGGTTAGTAAACCGCGCAGTTCGCAGTGACGAGTTAGAAATTAGTTGTATTGTTAGTTTAGTTATGTTACCCTTTCGACACAAAGTCAAGCGGTTAATACTCACATGAACGGGATAATTTAAAATGTAGTTTAGGATCAATAAAATTTAAAAAGCACTGACTTACGCAACCCTAATTTCTCATTTGGTATGGTATTGGCGCACCTCCCTCACTTCTTCATCCATATCTTCAAATAATTGTTAGCGGTCACCATCTAAGTTTTTAATACAGAAACATATAAAAAAAAACGAACGAATTGACAACATCCCTCTTTTTGAAGTCGGCTAAAACTGGTCAATACATTCATACACTTTATTTGCGTTTAACTTTTTAATGTTTATTATGAACTGACGCGTACACTAAAGAAAAGTTCATATTAAATAAAAACATAAGAACGCAATTATTGCGCAATTTGTTTCAAAGACGACGGTAAATTTTCCTTATTATGAGAAAATTGTTTACCGTTTTGTTTCGTCTGTTTGTGTAGAAATCAAACATGATTATAATACGCTATGATTGCGTACGTAGTTATTTATTTTGGCGCTATATATTTTGGTATACCCTTACCCTCATTCATTTCATTATTTATTGTTTTCAAACTTTTATTACGTTCGGATACATGTTTCATTTATAATGTTTAACATGAATGTTTTCAAGGACAATAAGTAAAAGATATCTATTTTTTTTGTTAATTTAATTGTATAAAACATTAAAATAAACCTGAAAAATAACCAGCGTGGTAAAGAGAAAATTAAATAAGTGTCCGAATAAAAAAGTGAAAAAGCAACAAATCGATCGAGTTTTCAGCCAGTTTTAATAGTATTTTCTTGTATATCGTTTTTGAGAAAATGTAAATGGTTGTTAGTTGTTAATTGTCATGTTGTAAGTTAACGATATTGTTGTCGTCACTATAATAATATGAAATACCAGGAAGAAAAAATAAAAAGTAATTTTGTAAAATATTTTCATAATCGATAAATCAATATGCTTTTTTTCGAAAATCATCGACAAATGTCATTTTTATTAAGTCAATTTTCTTTTTTACAAACTGAGGGTAGCTTCGAAAATAAGTATGCTCGAATAATTTGACGTTATACAGGTACCCTCTTGTAACGTTTTCAAATTTTCTCTTGCGACATCTGCTTATCTTGAGTTTTCTAAAATAACAAAGTTAATTATTTTCTTTTATTTGTTGATTTAAATATTAGAAATGTGTTTAATTATCGATCTTACTTTGTCGTGTTCAATTTAAATCCTGGATTAATTACGTGACGTACATTCGACATGGAGATTGTATACCCAATGTTATTGATACCAAAGGAGTGTGTCAAACTGCATCACAATGCTGCACTGCTTGATGACATCATATTAGATATAACCATCACATCACCCAACACTAAAGGTGAAGCTATATGTATATACACAGGTTGCTGCCATATCAAGTTTACAGATAAAGAATATAATACACCAAATAAGTCAACACAAGGATTAGAATTCATAAATATAGAAGATGCAAAAACAATTCAAAATGCTGCCGTCCAATCTACATATCCATCCAATGTATGGATAGATCCAGCCCGGAGTCCATACATTTATAACAATTATACAGCAAATGGTCTCCCTCCACAACATTTTGTATACAACCATCAAGCTAACCATGTAACTGTCCAACAGCATAATACATACATAACTCAGAATGTATACAGCTATCCAGAAACCATACATTATGCATCATCGGAAGAATATGGTTTTGAAACATTAATAAATCAAAACAATGTAACGGATTTGACACATTTGTTTGATGGTGATGAGTTAGAAGAATGTGGTTTGTTACTTGAAGAGATAACATGTGAGAAAGAGCCTCCAATTTTAACTGAATCAATTGACTTAGGTTTGCAGAGTGACAATAATGCATTAAAACAACTTATGTCAAATGGTATTCAAATACCATCAAAACCACAGAAGACTATTATATTTATGGGTCCAGAGTGTGGTCAGACTATCCAGAAGATTGCAGTCAATGACCCATTTTTAATGTGCACCTCAGATGATAATATTGCTTCAAACATTATTGATATTGGTAAGTCATAACATATATATATATATATAGTGCTTTGGTGAATATTAATAAAAAAAGACATAAATATATTGATACATTTATTGTCATAAATTTTTGTTATTTTTTACAAGAAAAATACAAATAATACTTAAGAATATAACATAACATAAGTTACATTCAAACATAAAAAAATATTTATGATAAATACTTTAACAGTACTTAGTAAAGCTTGCAATAATATATTTTTCAAACATATTGAAAGCATAATAACATATAGGCATAGATATTTCATAGCAGTGTTTTAATTAAGGAATGTTTTTGTAACTATAGCATTTTTCTCTCTAAATTATTAATTGTTTGATTTAATAACAGTCATGTTTTTTTAGAAAACAATAATAACAACAATCAAAAGAAGTACCAGTGTGAAAAATGCGAGAAAATATTTGACCAAATAGCAGCATTCAAGCAACACATGGTTGTATCACACGAGAGGAGCAAAATACATCGCGGCTCTGAATGCGAGAACGAATTAAAGGTGTTCATCTGTGCTCAGTGCGGAAAGAAGTTGAAGTCGCAAGAGAAGTTTGAATTGCATAGTCGTGGCCACGGCGACCCCGACCTGGAGTGTGAAAAGTGCAACAAAGTTTTCGCGTCTAAATTTAGTTTGCGAACTCACCGTAAGATACACACACGAAAATATCCATGTCCAAACTGTACGAAATCATTTAACAAACTCACAGAGTTAAAAACGCACCTTGCCAAAACACATCCAAGTCAAAAATGTGATGACTGCGATTTCACAACAAACAACCAAACAGATTTACAAAAGCACGAGGAATGTCACATTTGGCGGGAAAGTACCGAAAATTCAGAATCGTTTTTTCTTGACGATGGTGTCTCTGACATAGAGAACGATTCGGATTCCGGAAATATTTATGAGTTACCGATGGATGTAGATGAAAATGACTCGATTGAAATCGATATAAAAAATGCTAATGATGTTCTTGCTAAAGTGATGTCTAATAAGGTTTTTTTACTCAATGCGAGGAAGGGAAGACAAAACAAAAGATTTAAAAAGGTCTGTTACAATTGTTTTCTAATTAATGCTAAAAATATTGCCTTTGTAATAAAAACACCAATTCAACATTTGTAAGATAGATTTAGTTATCCTGCAATCTTTACCTTTTTGCTTCAGTATGTAATATTATATTTTTATATTATTTCAGAGTTGCGATGTTTGTTCAAAAACCTTCACACGTATTGGAGACCTAAAAAGGCATCTCATCGAGCACGTCATCAAGAGCACCCTCGCAAAGAACCCGGTCAGCAAAGATGGCACTCTCAATATACAATGCGAAGTGTGTCAAGTACAATCCTTTACTAAGGTAGATAAATACAAGGCTCATTTGCGCGAGCACGCAAAATTAACTTTGTACCAATGCACATTTTGTAATAAATCGTTCAGTGACTCCAGCAATTTCTCGAAACACAAGAAAATTCACGGTACCGCGTACTACCAATGTGACCTATGTCTGAGGAAGTTTAATTCTAAAAAGATGCTTACAAAACACATGCAGTATCACAAAGAGAACACACCGTTGCCGTGTCGCTACTGCGACAAAACATTTCATTTCGAGTCGATGTTAAATAAACATATCAAAAGCACACACAACAAAGCTGCAGGGACGCGATTCCGCTGCAATTTTTGCCAGGCTTATTATAAAACTTTAAAAGAAAAGTGGGACCACGAATGGTACATTCATAATGTTAGGAAGGTGAAAATTGATTGTGGTATTTGCAGCCGTAAGTTTAGAAAGTATGCCGAACTGAAAAGGCACTGCTTAGATAACCACGATTTGGAAATACCACCTGCCAAGATGTTTTTACAGCAGCAACAAGACGAAAAGTATAAAATTTAGGAAAAATTAAAGGCTGGTCCTTTAAAAACTTTAAATTTACCCAAAGCTTGATGACGTATTCAACTTTGATTATTTACTTTTTATGTCGGATTTTATCGAAAAGTTCTAATTTGCTTGTGCAATCATCAACATCACAAGCATCCACTTTACGTTAGTATAGAAAATAATAACATCGTGCACATAAAAGCATAAAGTTACAAAAGTGAGAAGAGAAAGAAAGATTTTTTCAACTTTGATACTCATTTTTACAGGATAAGATTTGTAAGAAAGATCTTACTTTAAGTAAAATTATTTTATATATATTCAGAGTTTAGTATAAATTAGTATATTTTATAAGTTAAATGTTTTACTGTTAAAATTGTTTGAAAAACAAAGGAATATTCGCCCCTTTAAAGACAGTACCGTTTTTTTAATCTATATTTGTTATATTACAATTTTCATACTTCTTGTCCTTACATAGCTAAGTACTTTATTATCTATATTTATGTAATTTGTTACGTTTACCATATTTGTTAGAAAAACCGAAATGAAATTGGGTATTATTATTTTTAGCATTTTCCACTGGTAATGTATTGTATACGTAGCTACTTTTTTGGTATTTAAATTCAGAATTATATGCATCACTTCTGTGTATTCGCCAAGTGTATGTAAATAACAGTCATTTTAAGTTATTTCATAACTTTTATACATAATAGTACGATAGTTTTTGGCTATTATTGTCTTACATCGAAAAAGAGTACCTTAAATCATGTTCTATTGATATTTTGTTTTTGTAAATCTAAAACACAGTTTTTGTTTTTCTTTACTTTGTAATATGACACTTTTTAATGGTAAGGATGAAATATAGCTATATCTGCTTTACGAAATAATTTATATCGAGGATTTTTAATCTCTTCATTTTTTATATCATTTTATTTTGTTTATATATTTTTCGTACTTATTACTTCGTCTGCCTTTAGAATTAAACTACTGGTCATTTAAATATTGAGACCAATTTTATCGGTGTGGCATAGTTAGCTAAGGCCTTTGCCTTTTTTGCCTAATTTTCTTTTTTTTCGTATATGCCAGCAGCAGATTCTACAGGCGAATTGACATGGAGAATTTTTTTTAAGCTATTGTTATTTATTATCATTACTTAAAATATTTATTAGATGAGATATTTTATTAAACCCTTTTTTAAAATTACTTACTACCGCTTACTCATAAAATGAATTGCACCATTTATATTTGATAGAGTGGCGTGAAAATGAAAGAGATGGTTTAAAGTTGTAAGTACTCGTTACGATTTCAAGTTTGAAGATTTTATACCATAGTTTTTATAACCATGTTAAGTACTGATTTTTTTTTCTGTCGAGATGTGTTGACAATGTTATGTTGTTGTTTTGACTTTTTTGTTAAATAAAACTTATATTTTCTAATAACTTCGTCATTTCTTAAAAATATATTTACATAATAATAAATTATGTACTTATTAATATCTTCATTTTCTTTGTCTTAAAAACGACTAACATTGTTTTTTTTTATTTGGATAAAAGATCTGATTCAAATCTCTTCCCGTACGTACTAATGAACGGAGCCTTCTATGTATTTTTGTTTACTATAGCTGATCACACCATCACCTCTGTATTATTAATGGTAACTTTTAAAATAAAAATAATATTATAATGATATGAAATATGTAAGCAGGTAAGTCTTATTGGCCATTTATTAAAGAGAACAGACGCTATGTCTTATTCCCGCGCACGACCTTGGTGCGCGGCGCGCGGCGCGGCGGGGGCGCGGCGAGCGCGCACGCGTGGCGACGCCAGCGTCACCTGTTCACTGCTTCACATCGGATTTCCAGTTTTCCACAGTCCGCGAGAACGCGTTCGCGTGGTCGCGTCCCCTCCCTAGCGCGGGAAATATATTATCTGTGGCGTCTAATCAACTGTCAATTTGTCAATAATTACACACTTCAAATTTTGTTTTTCGAATTCGATAGCTAACAAAACAGTTTGTTCCGAGTGATTATTTCACAGGATCAAAGGTGAATTACAGCTAAGGTTAGTAAACGATTATCTTTAATCTGTCACGTTCTGTCAATTCGTTGCGATCGTAGTTTGAATCCATACAGGATTTGTTTGTTCGGCTGTTTGCTGATGTAGACCGGGCGTGGATCATTCCGTTTTATAGCTGTCTAGTAATGGAATGGTTTAACGATCGAGCAGTCGATGTCTTGAGTAATGGTGCACTTAAAATTCCATTGAATTTGAACTATTTTCTTTGTTGTAAGAGCACAATTAAGACTACAACACTGTTGTTTACAACTAAATGTATAGTTTGCTATGAGAAACCAATGTTTCCTTTAAGAGTTAATGCGGTCGTAAATATAAAATAAATAACAATTTGCTTACAATTTGGCATGTACTTGCACGTGCTCGATAAGTAAAAAAAATATTCTTTGAAAGTTTTAAAGACTATTCCAAAGCATATAAAGTCGTCGCGTTATAAAAATACATTTAGTTTAAGTGTTATTTCACGCAGCATTATAAAGTAAATATTTATCCGGTTTAACTATTTATAAAAATGAGTAAGGAAATTAATAACATCGACTGCAAGTTATCGCCTCGTCCGCTTAGTTTATTCGCACGCTAATCGACATAATAATAATGATTTCTCGATGATATGCGGAAGTGAGATAGAATATATATTTATGATAATAGGAGAATATAGAATGATATACATTTGGCGAGATTTCGTATTGACGCTTGAATGGCTATTAGCGACTGATTGACCTGGACGTAAGTCTTATCTCACACACTCGAGAACGGATGCTATCGTTGAGGAGTGTCACCACAGTAAGGAATAATGGAGTTAAATTATTTAAATTGCTAATACATTCCTAGTAAATTGGTCCTTAGATGGTTTTTAGTTCTCCAATAAAATCGAATATTGGATTCGAACCTACGATGATGTTAGGTAGTTTCTATGGACGCCGGAGCTATAGACGTTTAGGTTGAATAGTTGGTATATAATATAGTTACGGTGGGTTTCTGAGACCAATATCCTCGTTTAAAGCATATCACTATTCTCAAAGATAATGAAAGTGATGACGATTTGTTTTATGTATAGAGATTTTCGTCTCGGAAACCAACGGTTAGACTTTTGCACCTTTTGCTTGTTAAAAGTCAATCGGTTGTTTACTGAACGAGATATTAAATGTTTCAACATATTATTTACGATAAAATTATGTCCGCTATGGTTTTACCGGTTTCGGTTGACAAATCGAGTCATCAAAATACGTACAATTGACTTTATTACAACATACTAATAATTTAAAAAAAAATCGTTATGGTAGTCAGTAAAAGATATACCGATTTTAACATGATTAAAATCGGTATATATTTTATCTATTTATCTGTGCACAATTAAATTGAAACTAAAACTGGCTTATAATAATCGATGGCTACAAAGGTAGAGGAAAACCAAAGAAAGTATGTATAGAATGTGTAAAAAAGGATATGAGTAAAAAGGAATTCATCAGATGACTGATGTATGAAAGAGTACATATGCCGACCCTCAATAGTAAAAAGGGCAGTAAGATATTGTTATAAATTTGTAATAACATCGTGTACATTTATAAATGCATACGTAGCGATGATATGGCGCGTTACACTGATCACTTGGGTCAGTGCACGTCTAGTTTATTTCCAGCCATCCTTTGTAGCTACGGGTCATGAGGCTCACATCGCTTGAAATCATTTATTATATATTTAATCTAATTATACATAAAGTTATAGATGAATAGTTCAATTCACACAACCCTTATTTAATGTAAAATGAAAGGCGACTGATGTCCAACCTCATAGTGACTGTTTATCTCTAATTTTAACTAATACGAGTAACATTTTAAATAATTTTTGATCATTGTATCACGTTTAAGACATCATTTTATAATACTAACATATTAATAAAATTGGAGTGTCTGTATGTAATATTGAAAAGATGTATTATAATATTTCCTACACGATTCATTTGTGTGTGCTGATAACGAAAAACATTGTCTGTCTGTCTGTCTGTCCGTAAGACCACGCTTATTCCGTGCAATCTATGGAATAGCTGGACCGATTTTGAAAGGAAAGTAGTTGATGCACACGGTTATATTATAGGATATTTTTATAAGAGAAGGGGGCAAATTAATGACGGGAATACCAGGGTGATAAACGACCATGTACGTCTTTACTAGTGGTTTCATTTTTTTCAATTTTGCGTTGATAAATTCATTTGCGACCACTAGTTTTTATTAAAGTTATTTAGCAAAATACATTAAATAATCTACTTGGTATTAATAAAGAGAACTTAAACATTAATTATTTAACAGCACAATAAACCTACTACTTGTTTGCCTAAATATACAGTACCTATGTTTCATTTTCATAAATAAACAACTTTCTCAAATTTAGGTTAAATACACAGGCGACATAAAGTCGCTAGTTAAATCCTTCATGCCTGCAAATACTGGTGAATTATTAAAAGCCAACTAAAACCTAAATCCTTGCGTTGAACAGACGTCGCCGACAAAACAAACAGCGCAGCCACTGATCTCGGCTACCATATTTGTGGTAGTTAGTGTGACCATTATTTGCAAGATTAACTTTTTTCTTGCTTCATGTGTGTGTACATTGTATTTGGGTACAACCAATGCGTTCAATATTTAACATATTCCGAGTTAAGCCTTGGAAGATAGACAAACTATTATTTGCTAGGTTTTCTATAAAATTCAACGTATCAATTAATTATTATTAAAATCCTAAATAAAATGTGGGTTATTGAAAATATATGTAATTTAGGACTAGTCTCGATTAATGTTATGGTGAATGTACTCGACGTGAGTAAACACGCATTATAAACACGGCCACGTGTTCTTATACATTTAACACAAACGAAAACGCTCCTGTACAAACATTGGTCGGACAATGTGCGATACAACGCCCACCCATCCATTGTACTTTTACTTAGAAGGTTTTATACGTACAGTGGGCCTAGCACGAAAATATGTGACAAGCGCCATCGTATCGTTGTCGATAAAATTTATACTGAAATTCGTGCAGCCCTTATGGGGCGTAAATTATTCCAAAAAAGTCCCACTAAGTTTGACATAAACGTCGAAGATGACGATTGTCACAAACATTCGTGCTAGGCCCACTGAATGTATAAATAACACGCAAAATAGTGCAGTTCTAATTACAATTTCATCATCGCCTATGATAATTTCCATCATTGTGTTTGAAGAGACACGCCGTAAGTAAACAATGCAATTATGTCGTTATAGAGAATTTAATTTCTAGAATATAATATAACTTAATATTCCCTTCCTTTGTCCCTATATGTTGTTGACAGAAGACTTTCATAGTAAATACCTCTACTTTACTATCAAAGTCGTATAAAGTAGGAAACTAAATTAATTAAAGCAAGCGACTATATTCACAAGTTGGCATTTAAGCTTTGACGCTGTTGGTCTTTATCAATAATAATTCATCGTTGTTAATGGAAATTCACTATTTATATAAAATATCAGATATTTAAATATAATCTGTTAAAATAACTATAACTACTAATCGTTGTTTAACTACGCAACATCTTAACTATTACGTCATCTGTTTATTGAAGTGCGAATTCATAATCGTAATGGTTCGACAGCTGCGCAGTTTCAGAGGTAAACATGTCTATCGCACGCGGATCGAACACGATACCCCCCACCGCTATTCGTTACTGCTACCCACTGAGCAATGACAATATGTTGTCGAAATGTCTCTTCCGCATCTAAAACATAAGATCTGGAGCCTGTGTATTAAAATATATTTGTCTCTGTTTATTTTAAACAGAGTGAGAGGGATGATAATATGTTTTTTCCAAGTATTTCGACAATGGAAAACCACAGTCTTGATTAAACATGATAGAGTTGCCACATTGAGAGACAAATCAGTCCTAACCACACTTTCTATCATCGCGTACTCATTAATAATATTTTCATAGTAATAATGGTCGAATAAAACTTTAAGGCTAACACACCTTTGGGAAATCAGTTCACATGTAAAAGGGGCTTTAGATAGCTCATGAATAATAATTGATAATAACGAATAAATTTAACACTACGAACATCATTATAACTAGAAGTAGGGCAAAACCCTTTTTATAGTCAGTACATAGAACTAAAGACCTAGACGAGAATAACAACAGAGGGAGTTTGCTTATTAAAAATTGCCAATGCCAATTTTTGTGTCTGTTCCTGATATTTGGCTTCATTTGTTATAAAAATATTAAACTGGTAGAACTTAAAAATAGCTTACAACAATGCGACGTATGATTCTATAAAAAAACTTTGACTTATATTGTTATGAAAATTGAATATTATTTTACATGGCCAGCATTGCTATGGTTGGGTTAAGCTATCGACTTTAGTTCGAAGCTTAACGAATATGGGTCAAATTCACTAACTACGATTTCAACAACTCACTAACAAGCTTACTTTAACAATGTTCAATAAAATTCAGCAAAATTCAGTTAAAATGCTATCATGATACTAAGAATATTACTGTTCCACAACAAAGCGAGCTTATCACCACATCAAAGGCCGGCAACGCATCTGCGGTTCCACTAGTATTGCTGATGTCCATGGGCGTCGTTGAACACCTCGGTGTTCCCGCTGCTCGTTTGCAGTCAGTCAAAGTATAAACGTTTAGTTCTCTCCATTATTTCTAAAAATTTACACAGATCAGATGTACATTATATTCTGTTTTATTACAATTTCCTAGTTTTGTCGAAGAAAAATGAATTTAGAAAAATAACGACTAGGCTAGGTATTAGAGTTGAGGCATTTGCGTGCTGCCGGCAGTTTGGGCCGTATTTCATTAGATTGCTCATTTAGTTAATGCAGTGATTTAAAATGATATACACTCAAAGGTGCGTGTGCAACGACCTTTGTAACTATCATATAGAATAAATTATTTATCTAAAATTTCCTAAGTTTCCCGAATATCCCTCCAAACTTGTACGAGAGTTG